CTCGGACTCGAACTCAGTAATATTCGCTTCAAACGTCATCGCGTTATCTACTCAGCTACTGAGTCCTGATAGCCATTTGCTTGTGCAATGTGGTGAATTTAAATTCACTTGGTATTGTTTGGCTTGTTTGTTCCTAATGAGGTTTAAGACTGCAATTGATCAGTCTGTTAGTGGCATATGTGTTGATTAGTTGATTAGCTGTAAAATGTCAAAAATATTATGTTTAATTATAGAAGATATTCAATTATGTATAACTATATAGTACAATATGAGATTGATCTAATTATTGATTATTGACGGATGTTAGATTCCCTCAGAGATTAATGGATAAACCTCTCTATTTTGTAACTTAATTATGGAAATTCAAATTTTTCACTTTCTCATCAAAAAAAGAGCCCATTTTTTTACTTTTAGTTTGTGTTCCCTATTTAAAGGATACAGTGGGGTCCACGTGACTATCGTAACCAATGATTATGGACTTTTGATGATATGGTTCAGAATCAATCACAATGGCGTCAGTGTCTACACTCTCTATCTCCTGTTAAACTAATTCTTTCTCTCTGTACTATGTCCTTACATGCAATCTCTCTTTTATATATTACCACCATTAAATTAACTGCTTCTATGAATTCGGTGATATCGATCTTCTTCTTTTTCTAGTTAGCTGGTCTGAAATGATGAAGAATACTTTAGATTGTCTTGTTGTTGTACTGTTGACTTTTGTTTCATACATTGATCCTAGCGGATATCTTAATCACTCGAATAAAGCATTAATGAATTGTGGTGATGTTTATTACAATTTTAGAAGCGATCATAAATGATATAGTTGTATACACTTTCTGTCTTTTCTTAAACCATCAGATTAGAATTGCTTAATGCCATTCTTTCTATGAACTTTATCATCTGACTTTACAGTTTTAAGTTTGTATTTATTGGGATATTTTACAAAGACTAGAATAGATGCGAAGATTACAAGATGTGATCGACAACAAAAAACCGGAAGGGGGGGTAAGGCGTTTATGTATCCAGTGATTCAGGCGTAAGCCAAGGTAAGCATAAAGGCTGGATATATAAGTCTCGTTTTCTGGAGTTGATTCAGATGGCTCCGGCTATTTACAGTAATCGTAATCTAGCTCCTTGAGATAGATATTTTGGAACTTGATATAAAACAGAGAAAGTTTCCTCTATTTTGATATGATGTTCACTATCTACCAAATGAGAAAGGATAGTGCTGTTGATTTTTTTTAGTAACTCCTTTTCCCAACCGTGCTGGTACATGTTCACGAACATACAAGGATAAGACCCTCTGATTACGGCCTATGTAACTAGCTCCACAGCAGTAGTTGAATTGGAATACACCCATGAAGGAGCACATCATTGTCTTTCTCCTCCTCGCTAATGAATTTAATAGCTGGGTGGATGTTATTAAAAAAGTCCAACAGTAATTGTTGAAAGAAATACTCGACCATCGACTACCACTACACTTAATGCTGACTAGTGTTGGGAATGGTTACAAGAAAGTTAGGGTTGGCCAAACCAAAAACCTAGCATCATCCCATAAAGTCACTCACTTCTGATCTGATTCATGTTGGTAGATGCACACTACTTGGTTAGAGTCCACGTGGCTATCATAATCAATAGTTGAAGACTTTGTGTGACATGGCTCAGAATTGATTACAATAGCGTTGGCGTTGTATTACACTTACAAAAACGTTTTAATGAAGGCTGGAGTTGATATTGGAGTAAATTAGTAAAAATCATTAAGTCTACAAGAATCATAAGAATTGTTCATGTGGTTGATGATTCAGAAGTCAGTTATTTGAATATTCTGGAATAGAACAGACTGAGATGAATATGAAGACACATTTCTGAAATCGAAAATTATGTGATCTTAATTAAGAAAAGACTTACTAGCAGGACAATGGTGATAATAATAAGTCAAGTTCTAATTAAGGAATCACTATAAAATATCACACTAAAGTTATTACTGTAATATAATATCCTTTTTAAAGTATAAGTTTCATTTAAGCTTTTATTAACGCTTAACCTCAAGACAACTGAGCCGGCATCCAACGGTGTCAATGTGTAACTTCCACTAATATACTATATTCAACCATGTCTATTGTGAAGTAGTTACTCAATGAAGACAATGGTGGATGGTTGCGTATTATCGTGGATTAGTGGAAGTTGGATATTCACACAGTTGGATCCTGGCTCAATGATTCTGAGGTCAAACATTTGCACGAGAGACCGAAGGTCCTGGGTTCAAATCCTTTCAAATACTTAATTCGTCAAAGTATATCATGAACATATAATGAAAAGCTCCCTAATTCATTGGATATATCGATATATTTTTACAGAATACCGATTGAATCTATTACTTTGATTAAAGAATAAGCCAAAGTAAGCACAAGTACGTTAACGAAGTGATACATTTGTTCTATTATTATTGTATTTAGTGACTAATATTAAGACAAGCTGGTGACTGATTAAATTCATTTCGTACTGTTTGTTTGAATCTTCCCATTAGGGCTTGGGACTTAAATTGATCAGTCTATTATTGGCATATATATGCACCCTGTGTGAATTGCCTTGATATTACCTTAAGTCACACCCTATTGCACAAGTAAGTGGTTATCAGAACTCAGTAGCTAAGTGAATAACGTAATGGTGTTTGAAGTGAATGGTATCAGGTTTGAATCTTAGAATGATCATCAACTGTAGTATGCAGGTACATCCAGTTGACGAGTCCCAAACGTGCATCCTAGATTCAACTAATATCCAACATCCAACTTTACTTATAATACTGATGCCTGATAGGATTGTACTTAAGTATGTTCTGTTGTACATTTTATCAAAGTTGACTTATATTATGGGCTCTTCTATAAAGTGCTTATGTTTCTCTGTCACTGTATCATAGATCACTTTGAATTGTACATCATTTGAAACTAGAGAAGTTGTTTAGTTTAATGTTTACTACCTTGTTGTTATTCTAATAGGCTCTTATAGTTCAAATGATAATAGATAAGGTTGTTTTTAACATGTACTATTTCTCCTATACTGGTATGACTTGGTTAAAGGCTTTATAATTTGGTAACTATATCAATACATTGACATGCCGAATTAGTCTAGATATGTCCTATACTCCAGAGACCAGAAATATAACATAGTGTAAGAAAATACAAACGTGGTATGCTATTTGGAATAAGTGAATTCGTCACCAAAATATTTATTGGGTCTTAGACATGAAAACTTCCTATTTATTACTTACATGCTTACGCCTGTTACCCCCAGTGGAGCACAAGCCGCCGACCAGTATTCTCCAATTCACTTTGTAGTGGGCCTTCTTTCCTAGTTCTATTCATTTGTTAACCATTTTTCTCAAGTATAACTACAATTTTCGGCGGAATATGCTCTTTGGTCTTTTACTCTTCTTCTCTCCGCCTGAAGCCCCTCTGGGACTAATGCCAGTCTCAAACCTGGATAAAGGAGGACGGTTGGGCATGAGGTGACCGACCCTATTCCGTAGAAAACTAACTCGCTAATCAAAAAATAATTCCTAATTATTCTTAGGATAAAAAGGTTATTACTGAATACCACTTTCCTCTATTTTCTTCTTTAATTCAGTGTCATCACTGTTCAGAATAATGTAATAATTTGCCCATTTTTTTCAGTATGATTTTTATCCACTATTGAGAGATGATATAACATTACCGTGCTTAATGTTTAACGTTCATAAACTGTCGAGATTAAATTGGAATGATGTGCTGTATACTACTTACATCGATAGATAGATATAAGTAGTATGTAACATCAAGTAGAATTGAATCCAATTAATCGACTTAAAAACAACAGGAACGGAATTATAAACCGAAAGAAAAGAAAATTTGCAAATAAACTATTTAATGTATGGTTCTTATATCTTAGCAAGAGATTCTGTAATTTCGTATAAAAGATTTTTTTGTTGTCACCCAACTATGTTCTTATTTATTATAATGGTAGACATTAATACCAACTTCTATTAACAAAAATCAAATTTCAATGGTTGAAATCATGAGTCCATTAAAGTTAGACCACCATAGAAAACCTGGAAGCATTGGACAGCCTTTTCATGCTATTGTGGAACTCTTCAGCAATGATCATACACAATCCCTCCCCCACAAGATTCAAACCCAGAACCTGACGAGTGACAAGTAGCACGAAACCCTGCTCCAAGGTTTCCTGTTGACTACCTCCAACTACCATCTAATCTCAATATATAGTACACGCAATTTCGAGTCACTTAGACTGGTGGCCACATTGCAACATGGTCGATAGCATTCAATCTACACTAAATAAGGACTTGATACATATGATATTGATCACCACCCAGTGATCCATCAATTGTGAAACCCTGAAACTTATCAATCTCTCTCGTGAATGTTTAACCTCTAGATCATTGTCTAACTTCAACTTATCCAAACAAACTTCATTCAATTAACCCTGTTCTCCACCGATATTGATCTACTTCTAAATATATACACATCCATCCAATGGAATTCTACCCGAAACAAACAAACAAACAAACAAACAAAAAGAATTCCTTAACGAATTATTAATTTCTTAATAAAGTATATAAATATTTGTTTAAATTAACTGTTTCTAATCATTTAAAAGATGATTTCAATGTTCAAACCCTTTCTTCTTCTTTCTTTTTTTCTATTTTCTTCATTTTTTTTCTTTTCTTTTTGTTTTTCTCTTTTTTCTTTCTTTTCTTTTTTTCTTCTTTTTTTCTAAAAATTAAAAATAAAAATTTTTTTTTTCACTATAACCGAATATACTGAATAATGGACAGATACATTTTAGTTAATTGAATTGTACAATTTAATATTTTTTTTGGTTTTTTTTTTCAATAAAATATAATTTCTATTTGAATGTTTATTAGTTTTTTTTAAGGTTAGAAATGAATCCTGCCCCTTTTTTCCCTCTTTTTTTCTTTTCTTTTTTTTCTTTTTTTTTAGAAAAAAAGGAGAAAAAATTAAAAAGATACATCAATCATTTTAGTTGTCTCATTAATTGAGTTGCTTTCAGTTTTTTTTTTTGTATTTCTTTTTAAAAAAAAAGAAAGAAAGTTGTACTTTATTTTTAGGGAAATTGTCTAGAAAAAAACCAAACCCAATTTGATTTTCTTCCATAGAAACTAATTTGTAGTTGTTTCTTCTTTCCAATGATGAGTTAGTTAATCACTCAATCAGTTATTTGGAACATGGGACAGATTCATGTTGTTATGATCTCATTAACAGAACACATTCATAGAAATATTTACTACAAATGATAATGATATATAAGGATATGATATGGGGAGAAATAATTCGTTTATAGAGAAAAAAATGGTATAAACTAATTTTAATTTTGATGGTTTAAAAGAGGACAAAGAGTGTATACACCTACACTATTGTGATCGATTCTGAGTCATGTCACCAAGAGTTTTCAACCATTGGTTATGATAGTCACGCGGATCCTAACCAAGTAGTCGGCATCTATAAATATGGACTGATGTCACGTTTTTTTTTTTGGTTTGTCCGCCTCTACATTTCTTGTAACCATCTCCAACACTAGTCGTGGTAAACAGTGTTCAGGTATACATAACATGTGGCCCAACCATCTCAGTCGATGAAGATTCAAAAAACCTTATCAACTGATTTACCATCATTCCCTAATACTCTGTGTCTAGCCTTGCTATTACTAACCTGATGATCCCAGTAGATGCGAGCAATATTTATCAGACATCTATGGTCGAATACTAATAACTTACGAGTATCTTCTACTCTTAATGGCTACGCTTCGCAGCCACAAAGTAAAACAGAACGAACTGTTGCGCAGTATACTCGTCCCTTTAATTGATAGGCGGATATCTTGCCTTCACCATAGATGACGTTAGTTGGAAAAGCCAAATGAGCTTTTTGAGTCCGTGCTGAGATTTTGTCAGACACTAACCAATTTAGGCTGATCAAACTTCCAAGATAAGTGAAGTTGTCAACGAGTTCGACTACTTCACTCCCTATCCTTAGTTCAGGTATTGATGCAGGTCAGTCCTGGAGCAAAAACTTACATTTAGAGTGGGGAGAAACGCATCTCAAACATTTTATCATTGTTGCTCAGTGCTATCAAAAGACTCTGCATTTGATCAGCATCTTCATTAAACATCACCATATCATCTTTCAGTTGGATATCTATCAAGAAACATTTGAAGAAAATATGTCACAGAGCAACACAACATTTTTTAGGAGAACAATATCTGACAACAAACTACCTACGAGTTTGATTGATGCCCAATTTTTATCTCTAAAGCGTATTTATATATGAAATAGAAGTTTAAACACGATTAGAAAAAAACATGTAGTTAGGAACAATCAATGTGGAGCAAAAAGGAAAACATCTATAACGTATAAACTTACCGTCATTAACAATGAACTGTATAGGTGAATGTTAAACTTCCTGTCTAGTTGCTCTATCCATCGGTTTGGTTGCTTTCACCAAGTAAGGTACATTAACTGTAATCACCGTTGATTGTTACTATGTTAACAAGATTATGTTTCCGCAAGGTTTTATGATGAAAAAGAATTTAGATATGGTACTTCTGAATCTTCACTTCATTTTAAGATTAGAATAGCACCTAAGATCCCTTCAAAATCTGGTAGGATCTCTTCAGAATGCAGCATATCTCTCGTGTGTGAATATCCAAATCTCCTACTTATTTGTAAATTTATTTTTGAAACTTTCGTTTTCTTAATGACACATTCTGACTGAGTACGGTGAGACTATAATTCATGGACAACCTTTGAACGACGCTACAGTGACCTTGAGGGTGTCCAACTAATAACTAAGACCAAATGAGGGTTATAAACCTGTTTGAGGAATTTGAATTATGATTTACAGTTGATGGTTAAATTTAGGAATTAGATTTAGGGTTTTCATCGCCAACTGATATTAGCTATAATACCGAAACTCTATTTAACCAAATGGATGAGTGAATTTCGCGCCGAAATTCGAAACCTGTTACCTCGTACCTGATTGGTTCGTTTATAAATTATAGTCTCACCAGACATTAATACTTTTTACTAGATTCCCTTATTAGCAACAGCCTACTGTGAATGAGAACAAATCAGCTTCGAGCTGAAGAGGAAATTAAGATAAGATGTTAGAAGTGGATAGAGCATACGTTGCGAAAATCATCAAACTGAATCATGAGGCGAGCGCTCACCTAGAATCCTGAAGGGCAACGGAAAAGAGGAATGCCGAACAACACAGTACGTTCGGAATTGAGAGAAGATACAAAAAGAATGAATAGCAGCTGGAAAGGATTGTAAAGGACAAAGTTAGATGGAGAATGCTGGTAAACGGTCTATGCTCTCCCATTAGGGTTAACAGGCGTAAGTAAGTAAGCTTTTTTCATTTATATTGTTATATAATATGTTCATTTACAATTATCACATTTGCATTTCACGTGACACATCAGTATTACGACCCTTATATCATAATCAACTTTATCACGATTACATAAAACCTTATTGTTAATACAATTATGCAGATCGAAAGTACTACTCCTGCTAGTGTTTGTTTTTTTGATAAAAATTACCAACAACCTCAGATGGGTAGCGGTGGAATCCGTAGACGGACGTTTCCTTCAGTTTTAAACTCCTTAGCTGGATACACCTATACAAACCAGTGGCTATCTGGACTAAGTAGCTAAGTAGATAACATGACAGCCTTAGAAGTGAACGGTATACGGTTCGAACACGGAAGTAAACACCGTCTCTGAGTTACAGTTACATCTAGCTGACGAGTCCCGAATAGTACGGAACGAGCGTCCTAAATTCCACTGTTACTCACTATTTATCTTCCGCAACACATAGTTGACATTCACAAGAGAGTGAATACTTAATGTGAGAAAATGTCCTATATTGACGTGAAACCTTCACGATAAGAAAGTATTTTGTAATTGATATCAAAACTACTTTGAGTAGTTTTTTTATACCTCAATTAATAGTATTATAAAAGGTGATTGGCCTAAACTAGAGAGTGGATTGTAGAATCAGTAATGCCGTATGTTTTAGATTGTTGAGATAATGAACAGAATGCCGGTAAACAGATGATCTACAAAGATAGAATATGATTGACTGAGAACTGCTTTGGAGAGTTAATAAGCTCTAAGATAAACGGTTGCCGAAAGGTAACACATCTGCCAATAGTAAAACAACTTTGTTACGCACAAAATACCAAAAAAAGAAATTTTATCAAACGTTGTCCGAGACATAAATAATAGGTTGGTTAAGGCTCTATAGGCCACTCCAAAGTCAATGATAGTAAAGCTTGACTACTGGGCCTAATGTTCTACCTAACATAATGCAAGGATACCTTCATTTTGCCCTTGATTGTAATACATCGTATTTAATAATAATCGGCAACAGAAAATTGAGACAATTTCTCCTTGTTCGGGACTAAACACTGGAATTTACGAAAGACATAATGGTGCTGACAATCGTCAGACGATCAGAACATTTATGCTGGTAAATGTACAACAAGTGGATATGTCAAAATGCAATAGTCAATAGTATGAGCGGTTTTTTGGTGGAGTTTTATAGTTTATAATACGGGCTGACAATCACTGGAGAGCCATTGGAAACCAGGAAGCATCGGATAGCCGATATGAGATTCGTCACGAGTAATTATATATGACCTTGCCGGAATCGAATGCGTAGCCTTTAGGCCTTATCGCGAACGTCTGACTTCAAGACCAGAGTTAATATCCAGTCGTTTACACTAAATCGTCATATTGATCAGATATCTTCCAATGCCACTAGTAATTGCCTCATATTCCCAATAGTTGAACTTCATTGGTTACAGCTTCTCAGGTACTGGGTTCAATCTCTGATGGAGCCATGGATGAACACTTCTAAATACCATACTAGGACAAGATAACTGTTTCCTGCTGGTTTTGTAAACTATAGACCAGTCAGTTCAGTTATCTGAATAATGTACAGGGAATTTCAGGCCGAAATATTAAGCTTTTAATCATGAATAACATTATTCACAACAATTCTAAGTGGCAAACTAGAATGGTTACTAAGTAACGATGCTAATTCTCAATTGATGTTTGATTCGAGGATACAATGTTTTTAATACAACGGATAATAAGTGATTCTGGTAACTTGATTGGGATCCCACAGATTCATTAAAAACCAAAGAGTTATAAAACCTAAAATCTATTTCCGATTGTTATATCCCAATGAGAATAATGAATAGTAACTGTTAGAATCTATGTCTGGACTAATACTATACATACATTTTTGTTGTATAGTTATCAAGTAACTAAACTATTCATATTCATGTCCCTCTTATTATGAGCTTTATTTTGACCTATGAACTATTATTATAGAATTTACCATTCTTGAGCTATGTCTAGTCTATCAATTACCATCTCCAACATTCACAGCTACATTTGGCTAAATCTTGTATAAATGTTGTTTCCTGTTTTATGATACGATATGGTCTGTTTGGTTGGTATATAAGCCCAGTATGTTTCAAATACATGATTCATATCACGGAGACTGAGATTTGTATTCTGGACTTAACAGTCAGGGCTAGGCGGGAATCAGAACCGATAAAGACTTTAGACTGCTCGTATGGGTTTTATGCGTCATTGGTCCGATCGATAATTCACTGTTCTCTAATTGACGGTATCGTTACGTTATATATTAATAAGCCAGAAGGGCACAAGTTATAACACCAATGTAATTTACCAAATCAAAACAGCTAATTTACTCTTAATCTGTTCGCATACAATAATAAAAAGAGGAACAAAAATGGACAAAATCACTATATACAATTATCTATAGTGTAGTAAATACATCACATCACATTTGAAATCTCTTATCAACTATATTTAGAAGTATAATAAACCATAACAGAAGAAGTTATCACAGGGATGAGGGTTGGTGGGGAGGGGGAATATTTACTCAAATTAACTCAATTAAACAAGAAATCAATTAGTGACTATATGAAAAGCAAATTACAATGAAAAGGATATATTTAATTATGATTTATTTACAATACCTTTTTATACAATAATAGTAATAGTATCCATTCTCAGTTCATTGATATTAAATGGATATTGTTACCAAGCTAATTTTTTATCCCAATTTAAAGATTATTTCCCATAACAACAAAAATAAATAAATAATATAAAAATATGAATTCATATACATAGAAACAAACAAAAAATGAGAAGAACAACATTTAATCAATAATTAATCTGATTCAACTATAACTGCATGTATTCCAGCTGCTTTTCTATCTAAATAACGTTGACGAGCAGCAATTAATTCTTCATCAGTAGTTACTCGTAAACGTGCCATTATTACTCCAGGTAATTTTTGATTCTTTTTATTCAAATAAGTATTTAGATCTTTCTTCGATTGATGAGAGGCTCTATTATGTAATATAATTGAGAAAATATAATATAAGTATTACTAATAATAATAAAGAATCAAACAGAATATTAACAAATAAATGAAGCTTAGTTGTTAAGGGATTGAGTGACAACCTTTGATTAAATTTATAGATGGACAAACATATTTATGAACTGTGTATAAAAATGATTATTTATATATAAATAGTTTGTCTATATATCGGTCAGGTTGTGTTGAAACATATATATACAAGGAGTCACCCAACAATACAACCCCCAAATGTCCTGGTACGGCCAAGATTGGGTAGAGTCAGCTCTCGCTCTCCAAATGCTCTCACACGACCACGTGCATACAGCCACTGACAGGGAAGTCCTACTCACTGACTTCTCGCGGTTAGGGTGTTCTTTACGAAATTCAAAGGACGAAAAGCGAATGTCCGGCGCTTTAATCGGGTTGGTGGACATGGAGATTCCACCTAGGGGGGGGGTTGGAAAACCCTGATCCCGAACCAATGGTGCACAGGAGCTCCAGCATCCTGAGGGAACAAATGGCGTATGAACCAATTATTGGTCACTGGCTACCATGGGACTGCATCTCCTCCTGACGTTGCTCCACTGTCTTGTGGATTAGACCTTTAGGTCAAAGGCTCCAGGTGTTGGGCACCCTGGAAGTATCCCAGTCCTCACATAAATCAAATGATTTATGTGGCGCATAGGCATGTGGTGTCTCCTTGTACCAATGTTCATGTGTTTAAATAAATAAATAAATAAAATGTTGAAAGTAAAAATGTTAACAATTGATCAGATATTCTGAAATGATGAAACTTCGAACACAATGGTATGTCTATATAGTAATATTTTGATCTATGAACTGAATAATTAAGCCATAAAATTTTCACATCAACACAAACTTAAAGAGAGTTTGATGATGACTTTGCAATCTCATTAGTTGTTCTTAATGGTTTCCACATGTAAAAGTACTGATTATTGCTTTCATCTATTATCATGTAGTTGTTTATGTTTTACTCAACTAACTGATAGATTGGGTTGAGTGATTGTATGAAATTTCCACATAATGAAACACATATAATCCAGTATAATGATAGAATATATTTAAATTAATATGAGCTAATTTACGTAAAAGCCTGTAAGTGAACTTTAATGGACTAAACGGAATGGGAGGTTTACAATCAGGAGTTATAAAACTCGAATCCTGTATGGTTGGGTTCCCAAAACACCCTGAAAAGGTTTAGCTATTCATATTTTTCCCATGTATCAGCGTCGTTTACTGCAAAGAATAAATGTCTGACTCCCCTGTCACTTCGATAATTTGTAACTGTATTAAGAGTTATTTGAAGCATAATTTAAGTTTTGCTGAAAACTATAAGTGTTGCATTGACCCATTATGTTAACATATGCGTTCACTATCACAAAGATATTTTCATTAGTCATAGCTATAACCGGATCATAACAAATATAATGCTATTTAAATCATATCAGTATATTGCTTAGAAACAAAATAAATGCATATTTCTAAACAAAAAGTTACATATACGTAATCATATACCTTGTTTTATCATCTTTACGATCACTTTCGGTTACACCATCGCCATCATCACAGTTAGGAAAAGCTTTATTTGGTGAGGGTGATGATACATTTTTGTTACTATTATTATTATTATCATTATCATACTGCTCTATAATAACATCGGTCTTTTTCCTTGTATGTTCTTTTACAGTTTGTTTTTTAATTGTAGATGCAGAGTTAGATTCTGCTTCCAAACAATCTTCTTTGCTTGTAGTGCGATGGTGGCATTCCTCCTAATTGGAACAGGTAATAATGTAAAAGTTGATTATTCTGGATTTATCTAAATACTAATGGTATATATAATTTTTCTATTTATATGATTATAAATACCAACACATCACACACAAGGTCACATTCTCTTAACTTACACTCAGAGTACAGCTCATATTCAAGTACCCGGTAAATGAGTTAGTTTGTATTATTTTTAAGGTTTCTGAGTATGTACGTAGTGAATAACCCAAATACGAACGGTGCACCCACAATTAAGACTAAAACCGAGACATTTGCTAGTCATCAGAATGCAAGATTAAGCTTGACGCTACCCAGAACATATTCAAAGTTAAGATGGGTACCCGAAAGTAGCAGCAATCTTGTGAACATACACCTCAAAAGTAGTTGATTGAAATATGACCAGTAAGTACAGAGCTGAGTTGTATAGTGATTTAACGGTACCGGGTTATAATGATTTCGTTCTACAAATTTGTATAGACTGTAACTAGCGCTAACTTCTAGCAGGCATTGCAAACGTGCTGCCCTACAACTGCAACTCGGAAATGGACTGGTTATTTACACCCCAATTAGCTTCAGCTAACATGAACGAGGGATAAGGAGTGTACCATATTACGTTTTTTTCACACCATTTCTTACAGGAAAGACCATAACTAAATATAACACAAATGGAGTTTTATTTTTGAAATATTCTGAAATTGTCCATTGACTGTTATTCTCAATGCTTTGCAAAACCAGAAAATGAACAGTAAAGTAACTAATGCTGGGGAGCATTAAACGTCATTTCCACAGCAGTGATAGTTGTGTGCAAAAATAGTCCATAGTTACTGCTTAAAGGTTTATTACTTTTTATTCAAGTGTCAGTAACCCAATGTTAGTGGATATATGCCTCCTTGCAATAATTACGTTACCTCTACGTATCAATAAAAAGCCAGGTGCTTGTCAGTTGGTTTTCTAGGAGATAATCAGAATGACTACAACTATGCACATCTCTAGTGAAAAATTTTCGCAAGGAGAGACATCAAAAAAGCATCAAGTGAATAACTAATAAATCCAACTTATCGAGTTAGAAAAATGGCATTAAACTACTCGGTAATGTTTTTGTCCAATAATTATAGACTACACATGCTGTTCCTCTCTATCAAAACCTAGTTTCCCTAACACTTTGTACATGCTTCTCAGTAAAGATTAGGCAAGTGTACGGAGTTTCGTGTAGTATGAGTCAAGTAAAAATGAAAGCTAGCAAATATGGCAGCCAATAAAAAAGGATCTTACTGAGTATCCCGCAGATGTTTTATCTTGATTATCAAACATAAACCGGTAAAATCCCCCTAAGCCATCTTGTTTGCAAACATCCATGACTTTCTCTCTCTCCTCTTCTTCCTTGCGTTTTTCTACGAGTGCGCGAAGTTCACTTAATTTACTTTTGTACGCTGAGGTAACGAATGACTCCTTGTTCTTACACAGATCAGATTCTGCTTCAATTTCCTTCTGAGCCTTCCGTTCAACACATAGCTCTCTCTCAAGTTTGCGCTCATTGGATGCCTTTATAAGTCTACCGACATACTTGGACTGAAAAAATTAAGATTTAAAAGACCCACTGTTTTGACGGTTTTTCTAGAAATATCTTCTGCTTTTTTATCGTGTATATCGTCCAAGTATTCATCGTATTGGAATACTGATGGGTCTTCCTCGAAGGCTTTTTCTAACTCTGTTTTTACCTGAATATTTTCAAAAATATGGAACGCATTGATACCTTTCGATTAATCCTATTCTGAGCTATGCAAGTCGTTTGAGAATAATCGGCTGGTTTCTGAAAATTTCTCGTCAATAAACGATGAAACCCCTACAAGTTCTTTGTAGTTTTCCTCTTTATCGGATTCCTCGTTGAAGACGTCATTTAACGAAACCTTTATTTCATTTTTAGGCTTTCTAGTTGGGAAACTAAGACCGTACACCTTACCGCGTCCTTGATTCATAATAGACGGTAACCAATAGACATGCGATTTAATGTCCAGTATATTTTGTGAGATACTTTGAATCAAACGCTAACTGTTGTTTTCGATAAATCCAATATCTTCACAAGCTTGAATCAAGTGAACGATTTCTTTTCACTCGCTTTTTATCGTTTCAGCATGGTTCTAGGTATCTGGTGACAGTTTCAGTTTGGAAAGGACAAGAGGCTAGATGGCCTGTGTTAGTCCTGGCTGTGATGGTCTCCCAGTTGATTCAACTCTCTTTTGAAAGAGTCGACAGATGCAATTTCAGACACGTGTTGAGGCACTGAACTCCACTCGTTGATGATTCGATGGGAAAGTCGGTAGTCAACTGACAAGTAGTTTGTTCTGAGCTTGTGAACATTTTTGGAGTGTCATCGTAAATTCTCTGCTTTGAAAGACAAAAATATTGGGGTGTCAGGTGCAAATTTATCACCAAATAATTTGAAAACTGTAATCAAGTTACCTCTAGTTCTTCGATATGGCAACGGGAAAATGTTTAGCTCAGCCAGTCGATGATCTTACAGGAGCTTCGCTATTCCGGAAATCACTCCAGTTGCTGTTCTCTGAACCCTTTTCAAAAGTCACTGGCTTTTTTAAACATGAGCTAGCCGCTTGCATGCAGAACTCAAGTTTAGGATGCATAAATAGTATATACAGCGTTAAAAAGTTTTAGCGTCGACCCTACATACTGACCAAGTGGATATTGTATGACAGCATGCAGTAAATTTTAACTCTTAGCTAACGATGGCTCTCAAGTCATTGTTTGTCTGAACAACAGGTAGCTCAGTGTTATTCGTCGCGTACGTATCTACCTTGATGGCCAATATGCATCACAATACGCTTGAAAATATTTATCGGCAACTGCCAATTTTCAATGGTCATTCACATACAAGAGGAATAAGAGTGGCCCCAAAGCTGTACCCTGAGGAACTCTGCTAGGCACAGTTTCCCAGCTAGATAACTTGGAGTCCACCCGTACTCCTCGTTGACGCCCGACTAAGAAGTCTTTCATCCACATCAATAAATTGCACCCAAACCCTGAATTTCTTAACTTATATAACACGGTTGTGAGAGATTTTGTCAATGGCTTTACTGAAGTCAATGTACGCTATGTCCATAGGTAACTTTCAATTTTTATGAGACAGGAACAGCCTATTCTAAAGCCATGCTGCTTTTCCAAAAGCATCTGGTTTTTATTGAGATACTTGAACAACACGTTCCGAAAAATCCAATCTAAAATTTTAACAACCACGCTAGTTAGGCTAACGGGTCGATAGTTCTCAGGTTTATGTTTCGTACCTGTTTTGAAGACAGAGCTTACTATGGCGATTTTTCAGTCTTGTGGTAATCGACCCTGGGTCACAGATAGATTAGAACATATACTTAAGAAGTTCACAACGAAGTTAGCTAGTTTCTTTTGTAACCTAGGATGCATTTCATTGAATTCCGTGGATTTGCCTGTTTCATGCTTATTTAGAAGACCAAAGACATAGAGTTTTTTAGTGGTCACGTTGTCCAGTGTGTGAGGGATTTGCATGGACCGGCATGAAGGGTGTTTCTACGATATATACATTTCTAAAGTAGTTTGAGAATACTTGAGCTTTACCACAGTCGTTTTCAAAAATGGTGAGGCGTTACTGTCTCCTCATAGTGCTGGAATATTTCCTATTTTTTAGTCCTTTACTTTATATACTAATATAAGAGTTTGTGGCGTTCTATAAATTGCTTAGTTATTTTTTCTTCGTACAACCTTGTATGCTTAAGGAGAGTAAAGGCACGAGTTTTTCAAGCCTCTTGATATTGAGATTTTGCCTCATCTGTACCCATTAACCTAAATCTTCCCCACATTCTACTCCTCTTAAGTAGAAGGATGCGGACCTCACCATTGAACCATGGTGGAGGGTTTCTCGGCCCTCTTGATATAATCCATGGGATATGAGGTGCGGTAACTCTTAAGTATAAATTTCGGAATGTGTGCCAAGCCGTTTCAATTGAGGACTCCGGGTCGATTGTACAATCCACTAACGATGCTGAGTGCATGGTATCTGGTATGTTTGCTTTCCAGACGTTAGGTCTGGGTTGAGCTAACGCGTGCTCGTGATTGACAGTTTTATGGAAGTCAAAAGTTAGAACTGCATGGTCACTTTTACCTAAGGGTGACATGTAATAGATGTTCGCAACGTCATCCTCATAGTGATTCAATATAAAACCTAGTAAGGATGATTCAGAGTCCGAGTCGTACCTAGTCACTTCTTTCACATGTTGTACTAGGGCACATGCAATAACAGCATCAACTAGTTCATGACCGAAGGAATTTTCTGACAATTCAATCCTCAGATTCTTCCAGTCCACTCTCTGTGCATTGAAGTCTCCTCGGATTAATTATCAACCACTTTGTGACCAAATATTGAAGCTGTCTAACAAGAACTCATGTACCTCACAGCTTACTGCGGTAGACCAAACAAAATAGCAGTTCTTGTTTCTTGCGTTTCAAACGGCAACTAACTAATTCTTACGTCCCAATCTCATGGGATACAGTGTCGATAATGGTAAATGGGATAGTGTTCCTAATGAATAGAGCTAGTACTCCTCCTTTACGCTTCTGGATTCTGTTGGCTCTTACGTGAAACCTTCAAGATCAAGTTTCTTACTATATATGTATTAGCTAATTTTCTGTGACTGCGATTACATCTGGCTTGGTAGAGTAAATTTGCACACTCAGTTCAGATCGCTTATTAAGCAAGCTTCGAGCATTTGTGTAACATATCCGAAGTCTATTTAAATAGCTTCGTGCTGCATCCATAGTGGATTCGTTATCATTCCCTGTTGAAACCTCACAATCCGAAAACTTACAATTTTCAGGCCCTTACTGTTAGTTCTTTTTCGGCTTCTCATCTTTCTACATGATCTGCGGGCTGCAAGTCCTTACAGACAAAAACTCCTGACCCCTTTAGTTTATGTCCATTCCGTAATATCAAGTTTCATTCATTAGGAAATCTAAATACTACTTTAGGCAGCCTAGTTTATATGTCACAAATTCATTTGGCTAGTTTGTCTATACACCTTTAGCAACGTATTCGGAGGCATAAGTTGATTACGTATCTGTCCTACAAACCTAACGTCAGGCACAAAACGAGTTTTGGGTTCTGAGCTTTCACTTTATGAAAGACAACTGACCTGTCACTGTGATCAGTGATTAATTTCTCGGCTACTTTTAGGGAAGGGGTTGAATTTTCTTTAATAGCGTTATGTCGTTTTTTGTTCTCGACTTGTACCCACTCATCAACTTTCGTCGGGTTAGCAACTACAAACGCATCAAACATATTGTGGAATTCCGGAATGGTATCGATGACTTGGGCAGTCAGGTTGTTTCTCCTGTTAGAAACGGATTTAGCCTAGCGATTGGGATTTTCAAGCGTTTCCTACCGTTCAACGGTGGAAGTCTAGCCACCTCACTGCACAAATTCTAGTCAGTCTGGGAAGTTTAGTCCTAACTTCATTTGCATTTCTCAAACTTTGCTGTGTTCTTATGCAGCAAAAGTACCATTTCTGATATAAAGAATCTATTCCAAGCTATACTTTCGGTAGATTACTTTTTCTCGAGTTTCACCCAATCTAATAGTTAACTGTCGTTTTGTCTCTGCTTACTATTCGTTTTTTTCACTTTTTCCGGTAAAGGCTTGTCCAGTTTATCTCATCCGTTTTATCCATTTTTGTCCGTTTTCAGTGTGTTTTTTAGTGTATTTTTTACGGTCTTAGGCTTTTGCTAGCATATACAACACATTTTATGTCAATACAGTCATGAAAAATTCGTGCAAACGACCTGGATGCCGTTTTGCTGTTACATCTGACATGCAGTGCGACAACTGCAAAGGTTGGTTCCACGAAGAGTGCACAGATCTCACAGCAACTGCTTACAACAGACTCAGCAAGTCGGGTCATAAGTGGGAGCGTTACGTGCAGAACAGATGCTGTAGTTTTGCTGAGTAACATTGTCCCATTGACAGGTCTGCGGAATAAGTTGTCAGCAAACTTGGAAAATGACAGTCATAAAACGGGTAGACAAATAAGGGCGCGCAACGAAAACAAGAATAGGGATGTCGACAGGTATACCATCGTTCGAGCATGCATTAGCACTAATGATGACATGTTAAAACTCAGCAACATCATCACGTCTACGGTAGTAGACTCCCTCAGTAAACTCGGGTCTCCCAGATCAGGGTTCTTGAATGCAGCAGTGATTCCCAAAAACTCTATAGGTGATTGGACCCACGTTAATAGAGCTAAAAAGAACCAGGCGTCACCGTCTAAGCTGAACACCCCAAGTGTCGCACGGAAATCAACTGGTGATTTGGTCGCACAGTCTACCCCAATAATTTCCGTCCGGTCATCAAAGAGCCTAGGATTCAGAAACGTGCTTCGACCTCCAAACAACAAGGTGCTGAACCTGAACGCACCAGAAAACCTGGAAAAATAATAACGGTTTGTGATGACTCTGTCATAATCATGAACCTCAAAGACAAGCCTGACCTTCCTCTCAGTTTGCAGAACAAAATGATAGTATGCTTCGGGAAGAATTGAACAAGAAGCTTGAACTTCCTGGAATAGTCTTTGACGTCACACGGCTCATTCGGGAATAAGAATCTAAGCATCAAAATCACCCGAGGCTACTTCGTGTAACACTTAAGAATGCTACCGACGTAGAGGATGTCCTGCTAGCTGGTCACTTATTGAAATCCGATGGGAACGTAAAAACACTGCCCGACATACCATATTCTGAGCGCAACCTCATCCGGAACATCCATAAAGAATCTTGCGGGAAGATTTTCCGCAGAAGAAATATGATTGTGCAAGGTGTACCGGAAAACACCGACCCTAGTCAAGCAAACTTTTATATTAGGGAATAGAAATTCCTCAAGCAGTCCTTGAGGCTCAAAAACATGCTGACTTAACATGTGACGAGACTAGCCAAGAAGGACGGTGATTCTAGACCCCTGCTAATGAGGATAGCTTTCCCTTCCTCCCACATGGCCGCTGCAAATCGGGA